CGTTTTCGAGGGCAGAACAGTTACCCCTCCATCAACGGCATGACGGCATCGTCAGATAACAGATTTTCTTGTAGGTGTTATAAATGTGGCCAGCTGAGGCACATCATGCGGGACTGTCCGGAGTTGCAGAAATCGGGAACTAACGACGGAAGGAAGCCGGAAATAGGCATCATCAGTAGCAATCAGGCCCCATACTGATGAGGCTTCGTTGCCCGAAGATCACCATTCCCACCGGGTCATAATGCCGATCTATGCGATCGGCCACACCTGGTTAAAGGGGAGTGAACCCATTGACTGCCCTGTGCTGGTGGAAGGGCACGTTGGCAACACCAGATTAAAAATATTTGTGGACGGTGGAGCATCATTCAGTCTGTTCGATGTGACAAGAGCGAAGAAGCTGCAACTGCAAGTGGAGAGGTGCATGCCCGAGATTGACGCACGGTTGGTCGACGGCACGCCACTTGCTATCCGGGAGCAGGTGAAGCACGTTCGCATTGATTGCGACAGCCAAGTCAGTTTCGCCATGAAGATGCTGGTGACAACCTTGGACGGTTGCGATGTGCTCCTGGGGCGTGATTGGCTTTGCACGTACAATCCAAGCATCGATTGGAGGAATGGCGACATTTATTTGAAATGGGGTGGCGAGTGGTGACGACTGCCGAAGTGGAAACCACCCGACCCTCAATCGGCACTGGTGAATACCGTGACTATCAAGCGTGTAATGGCACGTGGTGTTGACGTCTACGCTGTCCGATGGATCGCATCAATGGAGGTGGCTGAGCAGACCGACTTGGAGAAGCTGTGTGCTGCTGTACGCGAGGACCTGGCAAAGATCATGCGCAAGGACGAAAAGATTTTTCCTGATGACCTGCTGCCTGGCCTACTGCCTGAACAACCATACGATCACAAGCTTGAGTTGGAACCTGGAGCGCAACCGACCGTCCGATCGTAATGGAGGCTGAGTCAACCGGAGCTGCTGGAGCTGCGTACCCAACTGGATTTTCTGCTGGCAAAAAAATTCATCCGCCCATCAACGTCACCCTACACCGCGCCGATTCTCTTCACCTCCAAAAAGGATGGAGGACTTCGGATGTGTACCGATTATCGCACGCTCAACAACTTCACCATCAAGTCCCGTTACCCGATTCCGCGAGCCGACGATCTCATCGACCAACTTCGCGGGGCTATGTTTTTTCCAAGATTGATCTACAAGGAGGTTACCACCAGATTCGTGTCGTCGAAGCTGATATTCCGAAGACTGTGTTTCCAACACATTACAGAAGTTACGAGTATACAGTGATGCCATTTGGACTGACGAACGCACCCTCAATTTTTCAACTGACCATGAACGAAGTCTTCCGCTCGCTACTGGACAAGTGCATCTTCGTCTACCAAGATGACATCCTGGTGTACAGCACCTCACGGGAACAACATTTGAAGGACCTGGAAGCAGTTTTTACCCTCTACGTTCAACACAGACTCATCACCAACGGCTCTAAGTGCGAGTTCTTAAAAGAGGAGCTGGAATTCCTGGGCCACGTCATCTCCACCAGAGGCGTTAGAATCAACCCAAAGAAAATCGACACTATTTGCAACTTTTTATGAGTGGGGGGCGAGGCAGCAAGCTACGTTTGACCAACAGAAAACTTTCCTTATGACACCACCCGTTCTTCGTATCGCCGACCCCGAGTGCCCCTACGAACTGGTTACGGACGCTAGCGACATCGCCGTTGGCGCGGTATTGTTACAGGACTTTGGTGAAGGCCTGCAGCCAATCGCCAACGACTCGCGAAAACTCCAAAGCACTGGACGGAATTACCCGATTCACGACAAGGAAATGCTTGCGATCGTCAACGCTTTCAAAACCTGGCGATGCTACCTATCAGGTGCCGATGTTACTGTCCGATCTGACCACAAGTACCTACAGTTCATCCGAGCCCAGCCAACCCTCAATCCACGACAGATTCGTTGGCTCGAACATCTCGAGTCCAACTTCCACTACCGCATCACCTATAATAAGGGGGCAAATAATATTGCCGATGCCCTTTCCCGCCCTTCTGCCCATACATCCGCCGTACTAATTGCCCAAAATAGCCCGCTACTAACTGGACTGTTTACAATACTGATACCCTCTTCACCTCTAACGGCCACCAGGCTCTGACCACTCAACGAGGCCACTAGCACCTAAAAGCGGGTATTGACCAAATTTGGGTTCCATCCTACCGACTGTTACAGGAATTACTGATAGATGAGGTTCATGGCGCTAATTGCTAAGGACATTTCAGGGTTGATAAAACCTTAAAAATTCTCCAGCGTCATTATTACTGGCCGAATGCGAGCCACGACGTGCAGTCAAACTGAACGGACAAATCTGTACCGACCCGATTTGTAACGGTCAGACCAATCTGTAACAGTCAGACCATGGAGGAGCTGATACGGACAAGTTGTACCGACCCGACCCAATGGGAAGATTCCCTTCCTCTGATCGAGTTCGCGTATAACAACACCCCTTCCGTCCACGACTGCCCAATCACCGTTCTACCTGAACTACGGTCTAAACCCCACGACTCCCACTACACCCTTAGTTGAGAGTCCCGCCCCACGGTCGCAACAGTTTGTCAAGGACTTACAGGCTGCTTAGAAAAACGCTACCGAGGCTATCTCAAAAGCCAACCTTACGGCCAAACGGTACGCGGACAGGCATCGACGAGATTTACCACTGTCTCCTGGGCAACTAGTCCTTCTGGACACCAAGAATTTAGGGTTGAGTTTACCACATAAACTCCGCCCGAGATTTTGTGGGCCCTTCCGAATTGTTCGAATGGTGACACCTGTCACCGCCTACTGTTACCAGACGATTGGTGTATCCATGACTCCTTCCACATCCTCCTCCGACAGTTGGTCGCAAACACGGCTGATCTCGACCGTCAACGACTCTACCCTTCGATCAGACCCGTCCCTGTGCCGACTACAGAACCACAGCAGATCCTATCCCACCAAATCCGCCGAGACCAAGGTCAACGGGTTCTGAAGTTCCTGGTTCGATGGGTTGACCGTAAATGCGACGACGACATGTGGGTCCCAGCCGCTATCCTCGACAACCACCCATTGGTGCAGACCTATTTACATGATCAGACTGCCCCAAGTGTGGGTAGTCTCGTCTAGGAGGGGGGAAGGTGTAAGGAAAATCCCTTTTCCTTATCGAGCCGCGCTAACATCGAGTACTGTTAAATTATATATTGTGTTATATAATTGTTAGGCTTGGTAGGTTACCGAAATCTACTGTAGAGGTTACAATCCCCTCCTTGTATCCCTCTCTCTTTCTAGTCCAACTCTCTTTTCTCTTGTCAGCTCTCGCCCCCTAGCTAAACCTCTCGCCACTTCCATGGCGTCCAATTTATTCTAGTCTTAACATGCTATCACAGCCGGAGGTCCTCCCTGCTGGACCGCCTCCTCACGCTTCCGCCGCGTACTCCTCGCCCTCGTTCGCTCGCGCGGCCATGGCGGCCGCGTTGTGCTGCAGTGGCGGCGTTGTGATGCTGCTGGCCGCGTCGTGCCACTGCCGTCTCGACACGCTGCCGTGGCGTCGGGCCATCGTGCTGCCGTCGCAACGTCGACGTCCCGCAGCGGCGTCGACACCGCTCTGTGATGGCGTCGTCGGGCTGCAGCCGGCCGCGCGACGCCTGTGGCGTCGCTAGACCGTCCGCCCGCACACCAGCCTGTGGAGCCCCCCTCCTTCCCTGTGTCCTCTTCCTTTCCGCAGACGACGGCTGACTCCCGCCGGCCGTCCCACTGTTGCGGGGCCTGGCCACGTCACCGAGAGGTGCAGGCGCCGCCGCCGCCGCTGTTGTCGAAGACGCCGCCGCCGCCGCTGTCGCCGCGTGCGTGGGGGTCACGCAGCCGCATGCCACTGCCGCCGCCGCTGTCGACACTGCCGCCGCTGCTGCCGTCGGCACCGCAGCCCCTGCGGTCGACGTCGCCGCCTCACGTGCCGAGGGGTCGACCGAGCTAGTGTCGCTGTCACTGTGGCTGGAATGGGGGTGCTAGATTAGGGGGTGTGGGTGTGTGTGGGCATGTGACTACCAAGCCTAGGGGGTGTGTTAAATTATATATTGTGTTATATAATTGTTATGCTTGGTAGGTTACCGAACTCTACTGTAGAGGGTACAATGTTAGAAGGCTAGCTTAGCTAGGAAGCTAGTGTCAAAATTATATAGTGTGTTATATAATTTGTAGGCTTGGTAGGTAACTGAACCTTACAGTAGAGGGTACAAACCCCTCCTTGTATGCCTCTCTCTTCCTAGTCCAACCTCTTCTTTCTCGACATTCTCTTCCATCTCCTAGATCTACTTTCCTCCCCCCATTCCATGGCGGCTTTCCTAGCCTCCTAGTTTCCTATCTGAAGTAGCTAGTGTTCTAGATTCTTTTGAGATGGTATCAGAGCCGGTTCCTTCAGCCGGACCGTTTTCTATCAACAAACTCGCGACCTTCGAATAGCTATATCCAAAACTCCAATCGGTGAAACGATCTGAAAATCGGATATATTGTAGCTGGCAGCGTCAGCTTTCTACTGAAAGTTGAATCACTCGATTCCGTAGCTTAACGAGTGAGCTATGGCGTTTGGCGCACTGGGGGGTAATCTGCCCTGGGAGAAGTTGACAGTCCTCAGAGTCACTATGATTGAAGCTTACAAGATCAGAGGCATGATGGAAAAGACATTGAAGCACAGTTGGAAGGTGGGGTAGGAAGGGAAGGATGAAAGGGAAGGACCCTGGAGGCCCATGGTCAAGAACATGACAAGAGTCAAAGTTTTGACTCCCCATCCTCAGGTTCAGCCAGCCTGGCAAGACAAAATTCACACTGTGCCAGGTTGGCCTCCAAACCCCAAATGCTGCAGCTGCAAGGTGGGGACAAAAGTCCCACACATGCTGGTCCCTCCTCGTTATAGGGCTCTCCAACTTTGGTGTAGCAGCTGACAAGGACTTCCAATGAGTTGTAACAAATCCATCAAACATTTTTTCGTAACTTCTTCATATGTGCTCCGATTCCAACAATTCTTGGCTCGCTGGAATGTGCTCGATGTCATGCACAATCCAAGCACATCTGCACAAGCACAAGATGAACATACAAAGACATGCAAACCCAACAAACCATACAAACAACGTAGCACACAAAACACATGCAAACGAAATGATGCGAACAGACGACAGGATGACGTGCAAATGAATATGCACCAACACACTCCCCCTCAGACTGTCGGCTTGTTTTGCCGTCTCTAGTTCAAGGACATTCCCGCCATCCTCGCACAGCGCCAGTGTGGCTCTTCAGCTAGCCGCTTGGTAAGGAAGTCGGCTGGCTGTTGCTGAGTTTTCACGTAGATCGGATCGAGTGTCCCAAGCTTCACCTCCTTCCGCAGCCAATGCCACTTGATCCTCATGTGCTTGTTCAACCCATGAAGAACTGCATTGCGTGCCATGGCAATGGCTCCCTTGCTATCACTGAACAGAGGTGTCGCACAAGTCTGTTCATGGCCGATCTCCTTCAAGAGCCTCCTTAGCCAGATGATTTCTTTTGCCGCATGAAACATCGCCATGTACTCAGATTCCACTGAAGATAGTGCCGTCTCAGACTGCTTCTTGGACCTCCAACTTACAGGCCCACCTCCCACCATGCAGATGTATCCACCAACTGATGATGAATCCTCATGCTCAGAAGCCCACGTGGCATCAGCAAAACAGGAAAGGAACACCTTTCCTTCTCCGAGCTGCTCCCCCTTCTCTTGAAGGACTTCAACTCCTTTTTGCCTGAGTTGAGCAGAGGCTGAATACTGTACTCCCACTGTAGGGTATGACTTGAGGTAGCGCACCACTCTCTCCGCTGCACCACACTGCTCTTCTGTTGGATTTTGCACTACTCGAGCCAGTTGTCCCACAGCAAAGCTGATGTCAGGCCGAGTATGCACAGCAGCGTAGAGTAGGCTCCCGACCATGGATTGGAATTGCCTCTGGTCTTCACTCTCAACTCCTTCTCCTTCAGCTGCCTTTATGAGTTTGAACTCGGAAGGCAAAGGTGTGACCACTTCCCGTTCTTCTTGCAGAGAGTACTTCTAAGCCAAGGTGTTGATGTACTGTCCCTGATGCAGTTTGAGCCAGCCACGTTCAGTATCCCGCTCAATATGCATTCCCAGGTAGTACCTTGCCTCTCCAAGTGACTTGCACTTGAACTGCTCTGTGAGCTTCCGCTGCACCCCATCGATCTCCTTGTCACTGCTGCTGAAGAGCAGGATGTCATCCACGTACACCAGCAAAAGCACAAGTGACTCCCCCTCTCCCATCAGGAACAGGCTCTCGTCGCATGCACTCGCACGGAATCCAATCCCTTCCAGTGCACTGGCCAGCCTGTTGTACCAGCATCTCGGGGCCTGCTTCAAGCCATAGATGGCCTTGTTAAGTTTGCAGACACGACCGGTTCCATCCTCATAGCCAGGTGGTTGAACCATGTACACCTCCTCTTCCACAATGCCGTACAGAAAAGCGGTTACGATGTCCATCTGCTTCACCTTCCATTTGCGCACAGCAGCTACCGCCAGCAGCACACGTAGCGTTGGAGACTTAGCAGTTGGGGCAAACACTTCTTTGTAATCTTCCTTCTCTTTCTGCTGAAACCCCTTTGCCACTAGCCTGCTCTTGTAAACTGATGGCTCTCCTTTCTCATCTGTCTTGATTTTTGCCAGCCACTTGCACTGTATTGCCTTCTTCCCATTTGGCAAGTACACCAGGTCCCATGTGTGATTCTCCATCTGGCTGTTGTACTCTGCATCTCTTGAGACGAGCCACTTCCCCCGTTGAGGCCCGGCTAGCGCATGATCCATGCTCGGAGGTTGTATTGGTGCGTAAAAGCAGTATGCAGGCTCCTCGTCATCTGACTCTTGGTCATCACCCAAGAACAGCACTGCATCTTCGCCTTGAGCCTGTTCCTGCTGCTCAGTTGTGGCTCCTCCACTTGTGGAGCTCAACAGCTTTCTCGTTGCCATTCTGGTACGTGCAGGGTAGATGGTTGGATTTACCCATTCTTTCACCTTCACCCAATCCTTTGTCCCCCCACCAATCTGTTTCCTTCGCTTTGGCAGACTTGGTGTTTTGGAAGCCTCTTGCTGCTGCTGCTCCGGATCATTGACTTCAGCATCAGCTGCAATATCCTCATTGCTTCCTTCATTAGTACCGCTTGCCGTTGGCGCAGTGACTTCGCTGTCCGCAGGTTCGGACAGATCGAAGTGCATAGTGATCTCTTCCAGCTGCTGGGTGACCCTTGCCTCCGGCTGCTTCTCCCACTTGCCATACATGATGTTCTCCACAAATTTGACATCCCGACTGTCAAACAGCACATTCTTTGAGGGCTCCCAGAGTAGCCACCCCTTGCTCTCTGCCGCAAGCCCAAGGTGCACACACCAAAGTGCAGATGCTCCAAGCTTTGTCCTGTACGGTTTAGGGACATGTGCCACTGCCATGCATCCGAACACTCGAAGCATGTCCACTGGAGGCTTCTTTCCAAGCCACCTCTCCAGCGGCACCCACATATCATCAGCCACCTTTGTGAGTACGCGGTTCCTTGCCACTGTAGCATGCCTCACCGCATGAGGCCACATGGAGTTCCCCAGCCCTGATTCGATCAGCAGCGCTCGCGTAGTTTCCAGGATGGTCCTATTAGCCCTCTCAGCAACGCCATTTGACTGAGGGGTATAGGACGTCGTTAGCTGATGCTCAATGCCTTGTTTCTTGAGCCACGCAGTCAGATCTCCTCCTAGAAACTCTCCACCTCGGTCGGTTCTGATGCTCTTGCATGGGTGCCCAGATTGTCGCTCGACGAACGGCAGCCAATCATCTCGTATTGTTGAGGCAGCATGATCCTTCTGCTTCAACGGGTATGCCCACATCAGCCGACTCCAGTCATCAACTATTGTCAGGAAGTACCTTTCCCCCTTACTTCCTCGGACTGGAAAAGGTCCTACCAGGTCCATGTGCACCAGTTCCAGTGCTGCCTTGCTTTTCCCAGCTACGCCGTGAAAGGGGAACCGTGTGAACTTGCTCAGCAGACACGTCTCGCACTTGGTATCATTTGGTTGCCCAGAAAGCTTGAGCCCCTTTACTGCTTCTTCCTTATGCAGTTGCTGCAGCAATGGCATAGCCACATGCCCTAGACGCCTGTGTGCGGTTTCCCAATCAGTCTCCCCCGACCTTGCAGAAACCGTCACTCCTGCAGCACTAACTGCATTACACTCCCCCTGGACTCCAGAACCCGCCTTTACTTCTCCCAACTCCTTCTTTGTTGATTCCCATATCAGTGCAGGGATCTGCCACATGGATCTGAAGACATCTCTGCTTTCGTGTAAATCCCATAACACACGATCTCCTCGCAGCCCCTTGAATGTTTTGGATCCATTGGTGGTGGTGCTGACTCCGGCCTGGCCTAGCTTGCGCAGCGATATCAGATTGGCCTTCAGCCCTGGTACGAGTAACACGTCCTTCAGCACAACCAGTCCACCATCAGGTGCTCTGAATGCAGCTCGACCAACTCCAGCGACCTTCACTGCATGTCCGGATGCTGAGCGCACTTCAGAGATTGGAGGCGCTCGCACAGCATCCAGCAAGTCCTTGCGTGGTGTCATTGTCCATGCAGCACCAGAGTCCATGACCCACATGTCAAGCGGGTGCAATTCCTCTCCAGCCCTTGCAACAGCTGTGCCACTGTCATCTTTGTCACACACATGGTAGAACTGTCCAGCATTCCTCTCCTCATTTCCCATTCCTCTGTCATCCTTGGAGGTTTCTTCAGCAGGATCAGCTACCATGTTGGCACCTCCATGTGGTTGCTTTCCTCCATTCCCCTTCTGCGATTGGTTCCAAGGGGTCCACCAGTCGGGCTTGGTAGGGCAGCGAAACCATGGATGCCCTTCTTCCTTGCAATACCAGCACTCTCCCCTCAAGCGTGGTTCACTGTTGTCATTGTTGGAGTGACCACCTCTTCCTCTTGCACCAGCGCCACCACGTCCCCGCTGGTTCCAAATCCCGCGACCACCTTGGCTGTGGTAAGAGCGACCGCGATTGCCACGCCCTCGATCCCTCCATGTCCCTTGCATGGCATAGCCGCTGGTGCTGTCATCACCTCCGCGCAGTGTATAGCGACGAAAATCTTCTTCCAGAATCTTGGTGCGAATCCACTCCAATGTCCATTGACTTTGGTTTTGTGGCAAGCTGAGTCCGCTTATAAATTGCAGCCAAGACTCCGGCAGCAGGCTGAGCATCTTGAGACACTTTGTCTGCTCTGGGTACGTGATGCCTGCAATCGCCAATTTCGCGTAGAGTTCCCTCATCTTGTCCAGTACGGGCTGCACAGGTTCATTCTCGCTCAACCGCAGCATGGACAGCTCCCGATCCAGCATGAGAGAAGCGGCAACCGATGTCGGAGCGTGCAGGTCCTTGAGCACTGCCCATGCCTTGGGCCCACAATCAATTTCCGGTAGCAGATGCATGATGTGATGCCTCTGGTTCAGCTCCAAGCTTTGTGACAGTAGATAATACCCAGCAGATGAACGTTCATCCCAGTCCGCTTGCTCTGCCATTTCCTTTGGCCTTGGCTCCATTCCAATCATGAGCTTCAAGAGGCCAATTTGTCGAAAGTAGAGCTGCATCTTCCATGCCCAATCATCATAGCCATCTCCAGAGAACTTCTCAATGGTGAAGTTCTTCAGCACCTCCTTAAGCAGTGACCCCTGGCTTGTACGCGCTCCCCTTTGCGCTGCAATGCCAGAATCTTGGGTTGAGCTGCCTCCTTGGACTGAAGTATCACCTCCACCAGAGTCCTCCTTATCTCCCATCGTATTTTAGGTCCCAAATGCGTGATAATAGGCTCTGATACCACTTGTTGGTTAGAGAAGGCTATAAGCAGATGATTCAATGGCTCCTTGGAAATTTCTGCAGCACTTCGTTATGACGCCCAGAAAACTCGCGACCGTCGAATAGCTATATCCAAAACTCCAATCGGTGAAACGATCTGAAAATCGGATATATTGTAGCTGGCAGCGTCAGCTTTCTACTGAAAGTTGAATCACTCGATTCCGTAGCTTAACGAGTGAGCTATGGCGTTTGGCGCACTGGGGGGTAATCTGCCCTGGGAGAAGTTGACAGTCCTCAGAGTCACTATGATTGAAGCTTACAAGATCAGAGGCATGATGGAAAAGACATTGAAGCACAGTTGGAAGGTGGGGTAGGAAGGGAAGGATGAAAGGGAAGGACCCTGGAGGCCCATGGTCAAGAACATGACAAGAGTCAAAGTTTTGACTCCCCATCCTCAGGTTCAGCCAGCCTGGCAAGACAAAATTCACACTGTGCCAGGTTGGCCTCCAAACCCCAAATGCTGCAGCTGCAAGGTGGGGACAAAAGTCCCACACATGCTGGTCCCTCCTCGTTATAGGGCTCTCCAACTTTGGTGTAGCAGCTGACAAGGACTTCCAATGAGTTGTAACAAATCCATCAAACATTTTTTCGTAACTTCTTCATATGTGCTCCGATTCCAACAATTCTTGGCTCGCTGGAATGTGCTCGATGTCATGCACAATCCAAGCACATCTGCACAAGCACAAGATGAACATACAAAGACATGCAAACCCAACAAACCATACAAACAACGTAGCACACAAAACACATGCAAACGAAATGATGCGAACAGACGACAGGATGACGTGCAAATGAATATGCACCAACACGCTGCGCATTCCTCGCTCTCCTGCGCTGCCATGGCCGCCGCTGCTTGCTGCTGTGGCATCGTCGTCGTGCCGCGGCGTCGTGCTGTTGTGGCGTCGACGTCTCGCCGACGCGGCGACGTCGCTGTTAAGCCGTCGCGACGTGCCGGCGCCGCCGTGCTGCCTCAGCGACATGGTGCCCGGGCGCACTCGTCTCTGATGACGGCGGCCAGCACCGTGCCTTAGAGCACGCCAGCACGCCCACGACCTGTCGCGCCACACCGGGGGCTGCTGTTGCCCTGCCCCCGTCCTCTGCATCCTCTTGTCCTTGCCACAGCCAACGACTGCCTCATGAGGGCTCTCCCCTACCGAGGAGACTGGCCATGCCGCCGAGAGGGTGGGGGCCGCTGCAGTAGCCTCTGACGTTCTAGCCACCGCCGCCGCTGCTGGTGCAGCTGGCCTGTTGCCGCCGCACGCCGCCGCCGCCGCGCTGTCGTCACCGTCGCCGCTGCTGCCATTGCCGTCCCACGGGCCGTGGGAGCTGCCCACGTCCGGAGTCGTTGCGGCTCTTGCTGGGAATGGGGTGCTCGGTTAGCGGGTGTGTGTGTGTGTGTGTCTGGTGTGGGTGTGTGTGGGCTTTCAACTACCAAGCCTAGGGGGTGTGTCAAAATTATATAGTGTGCTATATAATTTGTAGGCTTGGTAGGTAACTGAACCTTACTGTAGAGGGTACAAACCCCTCCTTGTATGCCTCTCTCTTCCTAGTCCAACCTCTTCTTTCTCGACATTCTCTTCCATCTCCTAGATCTACTTTCCTCCCGCCATTCCATGGCGGCTTTCCTAGCCTCCTAGTTTCCTATCTTAAGTAGCTAGTGTCCTAAGTTCTTTTGAGAGCTAGGAGCCATGAAGTGGCGTGAGGTGTAGGAAGGAGAAAAGTTGAGGAGAGAAAAGAGAGTTAGGAAAGAAGAGAGGGGGATACAATGAGGGATGTTGTACCCCCTGCAGTAATGTTCAGTAACATCTAATCTACCAAGCCTACACATTATATAACTCAATATATAAATTAACATACAATCCCCTCCTTGTATCACTTTCTCTTTCTAGTCCAACTCTCTTTTCTCTTGTCAACTCTCGCCCCCTAGCTTAACCTCTCGCCACTTCCATGGCGTCCTATTTATTATAGCCTTAACAAGTACAACCCTGACTTTCGGAATTCCAGGCTCGGCCCGACAATTCAGGTCGAACTACGTTCGAGACCCCAAGCCTATACGCGGTGTCGCATCCAACACTTCCAAGTCCCGAAGCGCCCCAAACCATGGCCTTCCTCGAGGCTCTCTTGCTAGGCTAGCTGTGCTTGTATTTTGCCCTGTGCTTCATTTGTACTCGACACACTTTAATCATGACCTCACTATTGCATTACTCCTATCCGGAGATTATCATAACACATTTGGCATGTGCATTGGGTGCACACTTCATACTGAAATTCATATAATCTCTATCATTCTTGAAAGTATGAATGGGAGCAAGACTTTCACTTAAAAAAGAGGCTTTCCAGACCAACAAGGGTAAGAGTACCGAGCACTACACAATATATTCTACAGCAAAAACTTTGCACTAATGATTGTCACTACCATCCCAAAATACCATACGCCCTTCCGCATGAGGTTGAGACGCCCTGACTGCTGGTCCCCCTTAGGCGTGAATCCACGCCAGACATAGCCCCTGATGTCAGTTCCTTCGCTTCTTGTGCTCCCTCTTCTCACCATGTCGTCGCTTGCTCTTGTGCCGCCTCTCACTTTTGTCACGCCCAGAGTAGTCACCCTCACTGCTGCTCCCATTGCTCTCGCTGCTGCTGAGATGGCTTGTCTTGCGCCGCTTGCTCCGTGATTCCTTCTTCCCACGCCGCTTCTTCCTCCTCCTCCTCTCCGTATCGTCTGACTCCTCACTCTCTTCGCTCGCACTGTCTCTTCTCCTCCGCCTCCGTCGCTTTCTCTCCCCATCACTCGCATGTGACCGCTTCTTCCTCCTCTACTTCTCCCCATCCTCCTTCCTCCTCCTCCTCCTCTCTCCCCTCCCCCAAGACAGAGAGCTCTCAGAACATGATCCAGACGCTGCTGACGACGACGACGATGATGATGTCAGCACGCGCTTCTTGCTCTTCACAGCCACCACAGCACCTGTTGCTTCCCCCACCGCAGCAGCTGCACCCCTTCCACCACCACCATCCCCTGCGTCACCACGTGCATCACCCACACGGCCTTCACTGCCTCCTTGCTGCGTCTGCTGCTCCTCCCCCGCCTGTCCTCCACTCCACCCACTCCGCCCTGCCACCTCTCCGCTGCCTTCCCTCCCACCTTCCTCCCCCCCTGCCACCGCCACATCCTCAGCACCCCCTGCCACGCCAGCACCATCATTCCTGCCCTCCCGCACACCGCCCGCTGCCTCCTTCCCCACCCTCCCCTCCCCTGCCTTACTCTCCCTCTTCAACCCCTTGCCGCCCTCCTGCTCCCCTCGTCTGCCCTCCCCCCCTCCCCCCCGTCTCACCTCCCCCGGGTCCACCTGCAGCCCCAGCTCCTCGCCCAGTCCTTCCAGGAAGTCGCCCGCCTCCAGCCGGGCCAACGCCCGCGTGGCTGCTTCTGCCGCTGCCATGTCATCGATGCCAGCCGGTGCCGCTGACATGGCATGGGAATCGTGATCGTCGTCTTCCTCATCTGAAAAGATGGCCTGGCGCATTGGGGAACAGGGCGAGGGAGGGTGGGGAGTGTGGAGAGGGGCGTTGCGGAATGTGGAGAGAGGGAGAGGTGGCCGCATGGAGCAGAGTGATGTGAGCCATTCAACGCTGCCTGGGTGGACCAGAGAACAGAAACCAACAAAAAAAACCAGGGGGTGGTGGAATGGCGGCGAGGCACCTTGAACAGATCCAAGGGCCGGTTCTCAGCCGCTCCCCGCCCCTCCTCCTCCTCCTCCCCTTCCTCCTCCTTCCTCTCCCCCCCGACTTCTCCAATGTTACTTTCCTCCTCCCACTCAACTCCCCCGTAACGCCCAGCAGTAGCAGCGGTCACAGCAGCAGAGGGGGGGGCAGGGAGGGAGAGGAGCGTCGAGGAGGAGGGAGGAGTGGGGGTGGGAGCAGCTGAGGGGCGGGTCTGAGGGAAGGAGGTGAGCGTGTCGAGCTGACACGGGCGATGGAGGGGGGGAGGAGGGGCCTGCAGTGGAAAGAAGAGCGGAATGGGGAAGGAACGGAGTGTGAAAGGTGGCACCAGAATAGGTCTAAATAACGTTCGAATCGGTCTACTCTGACGAGGTCAGGCCGCACAAACGGAAGCAGTGGGGAGCGAAGCAGTGGGGAGCGAAGAAGTGGGGAGCGAAGCACTGTTGGCAGAGCAGGCTGAGAAATTTCGGTGGTTGGAAACAAGGCGGCCAGCAGGCATAGCATTGAAGAATGAAAGAGATGAAGAAAGGGGGTGGGTACAAAAAATGGGAAGAGAACAAGGGAGGGAAAGAGTGCAGCAGGAGTGGTCAAGCACGGAGACGACAAAGGGTCACCGTCTGCCTCTGCCTTGCTACTGTGTCGCCCGCCTCACTAAGACGTGACTTGTGAGTCGGCTCAGAAGCCACCCTCGTTGAATCACCTACCTTCCCTGCAAACGGGTCCGGCAGGTTGAATCGTTTGCACAGCAGAGGCAGCAACCGCCATGCCTCCTCCCGCCGCCGTGCCACCACCGTTGCCTCCCCTGCTGCTGCCGCATTCCCTGCTGCGCCTGCCCCTGCCAGCGCTGCTCCTGCCCCTGCCGCAGCAGCAGCACCCACCGCCGCCCTCTCAGTGCCCATGCCACCCTTGGCCTTCACATCCTCGTGCCCGCCGCTCTGGAAGCGCGATGCCATCATTGCCGCCAGCTCAGCCGCTGCCCCGTGCTGCTGGAAGGCCGACACGGCAGGGGCGGTGGGAGGCGAAAAGGAAGGTCCAGGGGCGGAGACAGGGGCAGACGCAGGCAGAGTTGGTGGTGCCCATGCGAGGGGGGGCAGCGAGGCAGGTAGCGGCTGCTCGCCCAGCATCATGCCGCGCGCATCAGGGCCCAGCCGCACACCACCATCCCCACTCCCACCCGCCTTCCCCGCTGCCACGCCCGCTGCTGCCCCGCCCTCGTTCGCCCTCTGCCTCTCCCTTAGCTCCCACACGCGCCTCGCATAGTACACTGCCCGCCCCGCCCACCAGGAACGACAGCTGCTGGGCCGGACAGCCCTCTCCTCCCTTCTCCCCCTCGCCCTTCCCCTCCCCGGCCTGCGCCCGCATGATCCCCTCCACGTGCACCCCGCAGCGCGCCACCATGGCTGCCACGCCCTCTACGGCTGCACGCAGAGAAGGGTCCACTGGGGGGGCTGCTGGGGGCGGTGCTGGCGTGGTGGAAGCAGGTGCGGTGGAGAGGGGCGAGGGGGAGGAGGGGAAGGTGTGGTGTGGTGTGAAGGAGGCGGGCACGTGGGGGGGAGGGTACCTGCAGGCAGGGTGAAGAAGCAAAATGGAGAGGAGTCTAAAATGAACTGGTGTTTAGCTTAGGTGAGCCCACGAGCGTCCACAGGAATGAGATGAGGGGCCAACCTAGTTGGGGCAGAGTTGGTCCAACCCAACCATTGGGTTTCCCAACCCCAACAATCAATTTTAAAATGGCCACCACTACTGGGCCCACAAGAACGGGTGGTCACGGCATGGCAGCTACAACCACACCTGGGTTAGGGACCAAATCGAGAGCAAATCTTAGCAGGTGAAAGGCGAGGTTTGGTGAGCAGTGCGCACAGGAACATGTGGCGTGGGCACGGCATGCCGCAGAAACAGCGGGAGCAAGAAGGCGGCTACATGCAGCAAGGAGAAGGTAGTACCATTTGCATTCCTCCACCAACAGGCGCCCCTCGCAGAAGCCCCGCATCACGTGCCCGCTGCTCCCTCACGCCTGGTCCAGGCCGCCCATCCACGGCGCGCCCTGCTGCTCCCCGCGCTGTCCCTGCCTGCCCTCTGCCTCTGCCCCGCCCCCTCCTCGAAATCGCACGCCCGCTTCCTCCTCATCCTCGTCCTCCACCTCGAGCAGGTCGCCCGCGGGGATCTCTGAGGCGACCAGGGGAGAGCATCGTTGGTGCTGGCGAGCGAAGAACGGCATGCACTGCACATGAACAGCATGCACTGCACATGAACACCATGCACTGCACATGAACAGCATGCCCTGCACATGAACAGCATGCACTGCACATGAACAGCATGCACTGCACATGAACAGCATGCACTGCACACGAACACCATGCACTGCACATGAACACCATGCACTGAACATGAACAGCATGCACTGCACATGAACAGCATGCACTGCACATGAACAACATGCCCTGCAAATGAACACCATGCACTGCACATGAACAGCATGCCCTGCGCATGAACAGCATGCACTGCACATGAACAGAATGCACTGCACACGAACAGCATGCACTGCACACGAACACCATGCACTGCACATGAACACCATGGACTGCACATGAACAGCATGCACTGCACATGAACACCATGCACTGCACACGAACACCATGCACTGCACACGAACACCATGCACTGCACATGAACACCATGCACTACACATGAACAGCATGCACTGCACATGAACAGCATGCACTGCACATGAACAGCATGCACTGCACATGAACAGCATGCACTGCACATGAGCATCATGCCCTGCACATGAACAGCATGCACTGCACATGAACAGCATGCACTGCACATGAACACCATGCACTGCACATGAACAGCATGCACTGCACATGTACAGCATGCACTGCACATAAACAGCATGCAATGCACATGAACAGCATGCACTGCACATGAACAGCATGCCCTGCACATGAACAGCATGCACTGCACATGAACAGCATGCACTGCACATGAACACCATGCACTGCACATGAACACCATGCACTGCACACGAACACCATGCACTGCACATGAACACTATGCACTGCACATGAACAGCATGCACTGCACATGAACAGCATGCACTGCACATGAACAACATGCCCTGCACATGAACACCATGCACTGCACATGAACACCATGCACTGCACATGAACAGCATGCACTGCACATGAACAGCATGCACTGCACATGAACAGCATGCACTGCACATGAACACCATGCACTGCACATGAACACCATGCCCTGCACATGAACAGCATGCACTGCACATGAACAGCATGCCCTGCACATGAACAGCATGCACTGCACATGAACAGCATGCCCTGCACATGAACAGCATGCACTGCACATGAACACCATGCACTGCACATGAACAGCATGCACTGCACATGAACAGCATGCCCTGCACATGAACAGCATGCACTGCACATGAACACCATGCACGGCACATGAACAGCATGCCTTGCACATGAACAGCATGCACTGCACAAACACCATGCACTGCACATGAACAGCATGCACTGCACATGAACAGCATGCACTGCACATGAACAGCATGCACTGCACATGAACAGCATGCACTGCACATGAACAGCATGCACTGCACATGAACAGCATGCACTGCACATGAACAGCATGCACTGCACATGAACAGCATGCCCTGCACATGAACAGCATGCACTGCCCATGAACAGCATGCACTGCACATGAACACCATGCACTGCACATGAACAGCATGCACTGCACATGAACAGCATGCACTGCACATAAACAGCATGCACTGCACATGAACAGCATGCCCCTGCACATGAACACCATGCACTGCACATGAACACCATGCTACTGCAACATGAACAGCGTGCACTGCACATGAACAGCATGCACTGCAACATGAACAGCATGCCCTGCACATGAACACCATGCCCCTGCACATGAACAGCATGCACTGCACATGAACAGCATGCCCTGGCACATGAACAGCATGCACTGCACATGAACAGCATGCACTGCACATGAACAGCATGCACTGCACATGAACAGCCATGCCACTGCACATGAACAGCATGCACTGCACATGAACAGCATGCACTGCACATGAACAGCATGCACTGCACATGAACAGCATGCACTGCACATGAACAGCATGCACTGCACATGAACAGCATGCACTGCACATGAACAGCATGCACTGCACATGAACAGCATGCCCCTGCACATGAACAGCATGCACTGCCCATGAACAGCATGCACTGCACATGAACACCATGCACTGCACATGAACAGCATGCACCTGCACATGAACAGCATGCCACTGCCACATGAACACAGCATGCCCCTGCACATGAAACACAACATGCCCTGCCACAATGAACAGCATGCACTGCACATGAACAGCATGCCCTGCACATGAACAGCATGCACTGCACATGAACAGCATGCACTGGCACATGAACAGCATGCACTGCACATGAAACAGCATGCACTGCACATGAACAGCATGCACTGCACATGAACAGCATGCACTGCACATGAACAGCATGCACTGCACATGAACAGCATGCCCTGCACATGAACAGCATGCACTGCCCATGAACAGCATGCACTGCACATGAACACCATGCACTGCACATGAACAGCATGCACTGCACATGAACAGCATGCACTGCACATAAACAGCATGCACTGCACATGAACAGCATGCCCTGCACATGAACACCATGCACTGCACATGAACACCATGCACTGCACATGAACACCATGCACTGCACATGAACAGCATGCACTGCACATGAACAGCATGCCCTGCACATGAACAGCATGCACTGCACACGAACACCATGCACTGCACATGAACACCATGCACTGAACATGAACAGCATGCACTGCACATGAACAGCATGCACTGCACATGAACAACATGCCCTGCAAATGAACACCATGCACTGCACTGCACACATGAACAGCATGCCTGCACATGACACAGCATGCACTGCAACATGAACAGAATGCACTGCACACGAACAGCAATGCACTGCAACACCATGACTGCACAGAACACCATGCACTGCACATGAAACAGCAACTGCACATGAACACCTGCACTGCACAGAACACCATGCACTGCCACACACCATGCACTGCACATGAACACCATGCACTACACATGAACAGCATGCACTGCACATGAACAGCATGCACTGCACATGAACAGCATGCACTGCACATGAACAGCATGCACTGCACATGAGCATCATGCCCTGCACATGAACAGCATGCACTGCACATGAACAGCATGCACTGCACATGAACACCATGCACTGCACATGAACAGCATGCACTGCACATGTACAGCATGCACTGCACATAAACAGCATGCAATGCACATGAACAGCATGCACTGCACATGAACAGCATGCCCTGCACATGAACAGCATGCACTGCACATGAACAGCATGCACTGCACATGAACACCATGCACTGCACATGAACACCATGCACTGCACACGAACACCATGCACTGCACATGAACACTATGCACTGCACATGAACAGCATGCACTGCACATGAACAGCATGCACTGCACATGAACAACATGCCCTGCACATGAACACCATGCACTGCACATGAACACCATGCACTGCACATGAACAGCATGCACTGCACATGAACAGCATGCACTGCACATGAACAGCATGCACTGCACATGAACACCATGCACTGCACATGAACAGCATGCACTGCACATGAACAGCATGCCCTGCACATGAACAGCATGCACTGCACATGAACACCATGCACGGCACATGAACAGCATGCCTTGCACATGAACAGCATGCACTGCACAAAACACCATGCACTGCACATGAACAGCATGCACTGCACATGAACAGCATGCACTGCACATGAACAGCATGCACTGCACATGAAACAGCATGCACTGCACATGAACAGCATGCACTGCACATGAACAGCATGCACTGCACATGAACAGCATGCACTGCAGCCATGAACAGCATGCCCACTGCACATGAACAGCATGCACTGCACATGAACAGCATGCACTGCACATGAACACATGCACTGCACATGAACAGCATGCACTGCACATGAACAGCATGCACTGCACATGAACAGCATGCACTGCAATGAACAGCATGCCACTGCACATGAACAGCATGCCCTGCACATGAAACAGCATGCCCTGCACATGAACAGCATGCACTGCACATGAACAGCATCACTGCACATGAACAGCATGCCACATGAACACATGCCTGCACATGAACAGCATGCACTGCACATGAACAGCATGCCCTGCACATGAACAGCATGCACTGCACATGAACAGCATGCACTGCACATGAACAGCATGCACTGCACATGAACAGCATGCACTGCACATGAACAGCATGCACTGCACATGAACAGCATGCACTGCACATGAACAGCATGCACTGCACATGAACAGCATGCCTGCACATGAACAGCATGCACTGCACATGAACAGCATGCACTGCACATGAACAGCATGCACTGCACATGAACAGCATGCCTGCACATGAACAGCATGCACTGCCATGAACAGCATGCACTGCACATGAACACCATGCACTGCACATGAACAGCATGCACTGCACATGAACAGCATGCACTGCACATGAACAGCATGCCTGCACATGAACACATGCCTGCACATGAACAGCATGCACTGCACATGAACAGCATGCCCTGCACATGAACAGCATGCACTGCACATGAACAGCATGCACTGCACATGAACAGCATGCACTGCACATGAACAGCATGCACTGCACATGAACAGCATGCACTGCACATGAACAGCATGCACTGCACATGAACAGCATGCACTGCACATGAACAGCATGCCCTGCACATGAACAGCATGCACTGCACATGAACAGCATGCACTGCACATGAACACCATGCACTGCACATGAACAGCATGCACTGCACATGAACAGCATGCACTGCACATGAACAGCATGCACTGCACATGAACAGCATGCCCTGCACATGAACACCATGCACTGCACATGAACACCATGCACTGCACATGAACACCATGCACTGCACATGAACAGCATGCACTGCACATGAACAGCATGCCCTGCACATGAACAGCATGCACTGCACATGAACACCATGCACTGCACATGAACAGCATGCCTGCACATGAACAGCATGCACTGCACAAACACCATGCACTGCACATGAACACCATGCACTGCACATGAACAGCATGCACTGCACATGAACACCATGCACTGCACATGAACAGCATGCACTGCACATGAACAGCATGCACTGCACATGAACAGCATGCACTGCACATGAACAGCATGCACTGCACATGAACAGCATGCACTGCACATGAACAGCATGCACTGCACATGAACAGCATGCCTGCACATGAACAGCATGCACTGCACATGAACAGCATGCACTGCACATGAACACCATGCACTGCACATGAACACCATGCACTGCACATGAACACCATGCACTGCACATGAACACCATGCACTGCACATGAACAGCATGCACTGCACATGAACAGCATGCACTGCACATGAACACATGCCTGCACATGAACACCATGCACTGCACATGAACACCATGCACTGCACATGAACAGCATGCACTGCACATGAACAGCATGCACTGCACATGAACAGCATGCACTGCACATGAACACCATGCACTGCACATGAACACATGCCTGCACATGAACAGCATGCCTGCACATGACATGAACGCACCATGCCTGCACATGAACAGCATGCACTGCACATGAACAGCATGCCTGCACATGAACAGCATGCACTGCACATGAACAGCATGCACTGCACATGAACAGCATGCACTGCACATGAACAGCATGCACTGCACATGAACAGCATGCACTGCACATGAACAGCATGCACTGCACATGAACAGCATGCACTGCACATGAACAGCATGCCCTGCACATGAACAGCATGCACTGCCATGAACAGCATGCACTGCACATGAACACATGCACTGCACATGAACAGCATGCACTGCACATGAACAGCATGCACTGCACATGAAAGCATGCACTGCACATGAACAGCATGCCTGCACATGAACACATGCACTGCACATGAACACATGCACTGCACATGAACACCATGCCCTGCACATGAACAGCATGCACTGCACATGAACAGCATGCCTGCACATGAACAGCATGCACTGCACATGAACAGGATCCCTGCACATGAACAGCATGCAACTGCACATGAACACCATGCACTGCACATGAACAGCATGCACTGCACATGAACAGCATGCCCTGCACATGAACAGCATGCACTGCACATGAACACCATGCATGCACATGAACAGCATGCCTGCACATGAACAGCATGCACTGCACAAAACCATGCACTGCACATGAACACATGCACTGCACATGAACAGCATGCACTGCACATGAACAGCATGCACTGCACATGAACAGCATGCACTGCACATGAACAGCATGCACTGCACATGAACAGCATGCACTGCACATGAACAGCATGCACTGCACATGAACAGCATGCACTGCACATGAACAGCATGCCCTGCACATGAACAGCATGCACTGCACATGAACAGCATGCACTGCACATGAACACCATGCACTGCACATGAACAGCATGCACTGCACATGAACAGCATGCACTGCACATAAACAGCATGCACTGCACATGAACAGCATGCCCTGCACATGAACACCATGCACTGCACATGAACACCATGCACTGCACATGAACAGCATGCACTGCACATGAACAGCATGCACTGCACATGAACAGCATGCCCTGCACATGAACACCATGCCCTGCACATGAACAGCATGCACTGCACATGAACAGCATGCCCTGCACATGAACAGCATGCACTGCACATGAACACCATGCACTGCACATGAACACCATGCCCTGCACATGAACAGCATGCACTGCACATGAACAGCATGCCCTGCACATGAACAGCATGCACTGCACATGAACAGCATGCCCTGCACATGAACAGCATGCACTGCACATGAACACCATGCCCTGCACATGAACAGCATGCACTGCACATGAACAGCATGTCCTGCACATGAACAGCATGCACTGCACATGAACAGCATGCCTGCACATGAACAGCATGCACTGCACATGAACACCATGCACTGCACATGAACAGCATGCACTGCACATGAACAGCATGCCTGCACATGAACACCATGCACTGCACATGAACACCATGCACTGCACATGAACAGCATGCACTGCACATGAACAGCATGCACTGCACATGAACAGCATGCCTGCACATGAACACCATGCCCTGCACATGAACAGCATGCACTGCACATGAACAGCATGCCTGCACATGAACAGCATGCACTGCACATGAACACATGCACTGCACATGAACACCATGCCTGCACATGAACAGCATGCACTGCACATGAACAGCATGCCTGCACATGAACAGCATGCACTGCACATGAACAGCATGCACTGCACATGAACAGCATGCACTGCACATGAACACCATGCACTGCACATGAACAGCATGCACTGCACATGAACAGCATGCCCTGCACATGAACAGCATGCACTGCACATGAACACCATGCACGGCACATGAACAGCATGCCCTGCACATGAACAGCATGCACTGCACAAACACCATGCACTGCACATGAACACCATGCACTGCACATGAACAGCATGCACTGCACATGAACACCATGCACTGCACATGAACAGCATGCACTGCACATGAACAGCATGCACTGCACATGAACACCATGCACTGCACATGAACAGCATGCACTGCACATGAACAGCATGCACTGCACATGAACAGCATGCACTGCACATGAACAGCATGCACTGCACATGAACACCATGCACTGCACATGAACAGCATGCACTGCACATGAACAGCATGCACTGCACATGAACAGCATGCACTGCACATGAACAGCATGCTCTGCACATGAACACCATGCACTGCACATGAACACATGCACTGCACATGAACAGCATGCACTGCACATGAACAGCATGCACTGCACATGAACAGCATGCCTGCACATGAACACCATGCCTGCACATGAACAGCATGCACTGCACATGAACAGCATGCCTGCACATGAACAGCATGCACTGCACATGAACACCATGCACTGCACTGAACACCATGCCTGCACATGAACAGCATGCACTGCACATGAACAGCATGCACTGCACATGAACAGCATGCACTGCACATGAACAGCATGCCTGCACATGAACAGCATGCACTGCACATGAACACCATGCCTGCACATGAACAGCATGCACTGCACATGAACAGCATGCCTGCACATGAACAGCATGCACTGCACATGAACAGCATGCCCTGCACATGAACAGCATGCACTGCACATGAACACATGCACTGCACATGAACAGCATGCACTGCACATGCACATGAAGCAGCCTGCACATGAACAGCATGCACTGCACATGAACACCATGCACTGCACATGAACAGCATGCCTTGCACATGAACAGCATGCACTGCACAAACACCATGCACTGCACATGAACACCATGCACTGCACATGAACAGCATGCACTGCACATGAACACCATGCACTGCACATGAACACCATGCACTGCACATGAACAGCATGCACTGCACATGAACAGCATGCACTGCACATAAACAGCATGCACTGCACATGAACAGCATGCACTGCACATGAACAGCATGCCCTGCACATGAACAGCATGCACTGCACATGAACAGCATGCACTGCACATGAACACCATGCACTGCACATGAACACCATGCACTGCACATGAACACCATGCACTGCACATGAACACCATGCACTGCACATGAACAGCATGCACTGCACATGAACAGCATGCACTGCACATGAACAGCATGCCCTGCACATGAACACCATGCACTGCACATGAACACCATGCACTGCACATGAACAGCATGCACTGCACATGAACAGCATGCACTGCACATGAACAGCATGCACTGCACATGAACACCATGCACTGCACATGAACACCATGCACTGCACATGAACAGCATGCACTGCACATGAACAGCATGTCCTGCACATGAACAGCATGCACTGCACATGAACAGCATGCCCTGCACATGAACAGCATGCACTGCACATGAACACCATGCACTGCACATGAACAGCATGCACTGCACATGAACAGCATGCCCTGCACATGAACAGCATGCACTGCACATGAACACATGCACTGCACATGAACAGCATGCTGCACATGAACAGCATGCACTGCACAAACACATGCACTGCACATGAACACATGCACTGCACATGAACAGCATGCACTGCACATGAACACCATGCACTGCACATGAACACATGCACTGCACATGAACAGCATGCACTGCACATGAACAGCATGCACTGCACATGAACAGCATGCACTGCACATGAACAGCATGCACTGCACATGAACAGCATGCCCTGCACATGAACAGCATGCACTGCACATGAACAGCATGCATGCACATGAACACCATGCACTGCACATGAACAGCATGCACTGCACATGAACAGCATGCACTGCACATGAACACATGCACTGCACATGAACAGCATGCACTGCACATGAACAGCATGCACTGCACATGAACAGCATGCACTGCACATGAACAGCATGCACTGCACATGAACAGCATGCACTGCACATGAACAGCATGCACTGCACATGAACAGCATGCACTGCACATGAACAGCATGCACTGCACATGAACAGCATGCACTGCACATGAACAGCATGCACTGCACATGAACAGCATGCACTGCACATGAACAGCATGCCCTGCACATGAACAGCATGCACTGCACATGAACAGCATGCACTGCACATGAACACCATGCACTGCACATGAACAGCATGCACTGCACATGAACAGCATGCACTGCACATGAACAGCATGCACTGCACATGAACAGCATGCCCTGCACATGAACACCATGCACTGCACATGAACACCATGCACTGCACATGAACAGCATGCACTGCACATGAACAGCATGCACTGCACATGAACAGCATGCCCTGCACATGAACACCATGCCTGCACATGAACAGCATGCACTGCACATGAACAGCATGCCCTGCACATGAACAGCATGCACTGCACATGAACACATGCACTGCACATGAACACATGCCTGCACATGAACAGCATGCACTGCACATGAACAGCATGCCCTGCACATGAACAGCATGCACTGCACATGAACAGCATGCCCTGCACATGAACAGCATGCACTGCACATGAACACCATGCACTGCACATGAACAGCATGCACTGCACATGAACAGCATGCACTGCACATGAACAGCATGCACTGCACATGAACACCATGCACGGCACATGAACAGCATGCCTGCACATGAACAGCATGCACTGCACAAACACCATGCACTGCACATGAACACCATGCACTGCACATGAACAGCATGCACTGCACATGAACACCATGCACTGCACATGAACAGCATGCACTGCACATGAACAGCATGCACTGCACATGAACAGCATGCACTGCACATGAACAGCATGCACTGCACATGAACAGCATGCACTGCACATGAACAGCATGCACTGCACATGAACAGCATGCACTGCACATGAACAGCATGCACTGCACATGAACACCATGCACTGCACATGAACAGCATGCACTGCACATGAACAGCATGCACTGCACATGAACAGCATGCCCTGCACATGAACACCATGCCTGCACATGAACAGCATGCACTGCACATGAACAGCATGCCCTGCACATGAACAGCATGCACTGCACATGAACACCATGCACTGCACATGAACACCATGCCTGCACATGAACAGCATGCACTGCACATGAACAGCATGCCCTGCACATGAACAGCATGCACTGCACATGAACAGCATGCCCTGCACATGAACAGCATGCACTGCACATGAACACCATGCACTGCACATGAACAGCATGCACTGCACATGAACAGCATGCACTGCACATGAACAGCATGCACTGCACATGAACACCATGCACTGCACATGAACAGCATGCACTGCACATGAACAGCATGCACTGCACATGAACACCATGCACTGCACATGAACACCATGCACTGCACATGAACAGCATGCACTGCACATGAACACCATGCACTGCACATGAACAGCATGCACTGCACATGAACAGCATGCACTGCACATGAACAGCATGCACTGCACATGAACAGCATGCACTGCACATGAACAGCATGCACTGCACATGAACAGCATGCCCTGCACATGAACAGCATGCACTGCACATGAACAGCATGCACTGCACATGAACACCATGCACTGCACATGAACAGCATGCACTGCACATGAACAGCATGCACTGCACATGAACACCATGCACTGCACATGAACAGCATGCACTGCACATGAACAGCATGCACTGCACATGAACAGCATGCACTGCACATGAACAGCATGCACTGCACATGAACAGCATGCACTGCACATGAACAGCATGCACTGCCCATGAACAGCATGCACTGCACATGAACACCATGCACTGCACATGAACACGTGCACTGCACATGAACAGCATGCACTGCACATAAAC